CACTCTTCGAAGACAACTGTGTTTCCACTGTTACCATCTGCGCTGCAGCCGGAGCGTGGCCAGCACATGATGAGAATGGAGGAGCGTCTCCACCTGGAGAAAAGCAGATCGGCATTCGAGAGAGAAACACTCCGCGGCAGCTTTTTTTTTTTTTCTCTCTTCATGCGCAGTGTTGAAAGGAGAAGAGTCTTTACTTAGCAGGAACGAAAAACAGAGAAGCGTGACACCGGCGCGTTGCAGATCGGCATGAGAGAGCCAACTCTCTGCTACAGCTTTTTTTCCCCTCGTTCTCTTCATGCGCAGTGTTAAGAGGAGAAGGGTCTCTACGTGGCAGGGACGGAAAAAGCCGAAGCGGGGCACAGGAATGTCGCAGATTGGCATTTGGCAAACATTCCACCGCGGTCTTTTCTTTCCTTTTCTTCATTTTCTTCTTCAAGCACAGCGATGAGGTGCCTAAAGTGCCACCGCAGGATTGGGCGGGGTGCTGAGAGCATTTCGGAGCGCGGTATAGCTTTGATAGGACCACAGCGTCAGTTCGAATTAAGTGTGTTGGAATTAATGAGATTCGACTGTATTTACTATAGTCTGTGAAGTCCGAGTGAACTGTCCTAAGCTAGCAGACGATGTAGGCGGCATCGTGTGTTTGATGAACAGTGACTAGCAATAGCCTGCTTAAAACAGACATTCAGTAATTTTGTTCATTTATCACCCTATTTCGTGTCCGCTGCGGCTCTCTCTACTTTGAGCTACAGTTCACCCTGCCTTGTGTTAGCCGATTTCTTACTTTTTTAAAAATCTAACATGCACCCAATTTCGCAGTGTGAAGAAAAATGCACCTTTGTTTATTGTGATGAGATTTCTATAGCGACATGCCTCTTTGTTGGCTATCACAGAAAAATATAAACAGCAAATGGTGCGACCATCTAGTGCGACCTTTATTTTCCAATCAGTTTCATCTATGACCAAGATTTGGTCGCTCTAAGGTTGCCTCTTAGTACGCCTTGATCATGTTCATTTATCTTGTTGTGCTCTGCTTACAATGCATTGATTAAAAACATGTCCAAGCTTATTTTTGAATTCCACATATTTACTCCTGGTCAACATTCAGGCAAAGACATTGTAACCTCGAAGAAACGTGTATTGGAATTTGAGCACTGTACAAAGTAATTATACTATTTCATAGCTAGAATCAATATTTATTAAGGGTTATAACAGTGTTGTATTTGATTTCATAACAGCGAAACTGCATTCAGAGAAGGACTCTGAAAGGTTCTCACACTGAGTGTGAGAAGGCTGATGTGGAAACCATTTTAGGTCAAGTGAGTTGAAGTTAGCGTAAAAAAACAATGAAATGTTGTGATGCCCAAAAATTCAAGTTGTTGTTTTCAGTGTCCTCTTCTTGCAGATTTCTATCATGAAAACATTTCGATGTGCTGTTGCGTTTACCCCATCTATGCTTCTTGCATTTTTTTACAGCGGAAGCACCTCCTGCAGATTGGGGGACGTGGCCTCCGAGAAATTGGTGTGAATGCCATGAAGGCTGTATTGGCACATGACGTGCAAGTGCTGTACAGCCTTCATGGCAGAAAAGGGAAAAGGGCCTTTGTGAACCTGAGGCTCTGTAGATTAGTGACAGGTTAGACTTGTTCATTGTTTTATGTGTGTGTACCCTTGTGTATTCTCTGTACTGCAGTGCTTCATGTGTGCTATGGTATTTCTGTTCTCGTATGCAGGTGTCATCTGCCAAAAAGCAGGGTGCGACCAGGCGGAGGCCCTCAACTGTATTAAGAGATGGCTGCCAGGGTCTGGTGACCGCTGTGGGGGCAGGAAGCGGCTCTTCAGAGAAGCATTTGTTGTGGAGCAGCCCGATGATCCCCACTCTCAGAGTGCAGATTATCGGCTGCTCGCTGCAGCTGGCTTCCTGCCCAGCCACAGCAGCCAGGGCCTTGACAGCACCACTGTCACTGTGTCCCCAACGCAACCTGACCTGCAGTAGAGCAGGCCTTTTTTAGTTGTGTATATATATTTTTCAATGTATACATTTTTTGTTGTACCAAATAAATAAAAAAAACAAAGAATAAATAGTCTGCAGACTGTCGGTGGTGCACTGTTCGGCTAGCTTATGCTGATTCGGAAGCACCATCACCATGTTTTAGTTACAAAAAAATGCTCTAAACTATGAATATTCTCGATTACCATGTGGGGGACATATGTATGTGGGGATTGCAAGTGGGGGACATGCGCTTTCAACATTTACTTCCTAACGACTTTTTTCGATCTGCTGTACCAAATACCAGTACCAAATAAAGCACTCGCTATTGCAAAAGATAAATTGGTAAAAAAAATAAACTACACTTCTAGTGTTAGCAAAGGGAATGAGGTATAAAAGATGAAATAGATCGAGTAACTGCTTTCAGTTCTCAGCATTCAATTTTCTGTTGCCCCAAGTATACAGGGCTGCAAAGCTACAAGAGCGGATCATCGAGGCATATTGTTAAATCTTCCGGTAAGAAAAATTCCCTACTAATAATGGTTACATAATGGCAAGCCAATCAGTAGCCAATATTCGTCGTGCAGGAAACATCGGTGTAATAACGGCATTGATTGGCTGCAATGTGGCCCTGGATTGGTCCAATGTCGGTCGTACATCCGTAGCCAATATTCGTCGTGCAGCAAACATCGGCGTAAAAATGGCATGTGATTGGCTGAAATATGGCCCAATGTTGGCCGAACATTGGCAGCTTTGTCGGCAATACGATGGGCCTTCGTCGGCCCAATGTTGGTTGCATACTGGCTAAAACATCGGCAAAACGTCGGCCCATCATTGGCTTGAACGTCGGACCGACATTGGAAGAAGTTGCACTTCCGACGTCGGCCCGACGTCGGTGCCGATGTTAGCCGATGTTGGTCCAAGATTGGTCCAACGGCCAATCTGCAGCGCGGTGGAGCGGCAAAGCCCTGACGTGCGCGCGTCTGTGTGGTCTTCTTGTGTCCAACGACTTGGGTTCCAGCTTCCGCCAGCGGTAGCTGTAACTGGTTGCCATGTGGTTAGTTACCTCGTTGGCGCCCTCAGCCATCGCCTTGTTGATCACACACTACACGTCTGGACATCATCTCGAGCATACCTATTCATCCGTTGTTGGTTCTCGTTAATTACAGCGAACATCCTCGCATGCTGCCTGAATGGAACGGCCAGTTGCTGGATGTAGCAAGGGACTTTTGCACTATGTATACGGACGCATGACGCACGTATCTGGAGCGCAGTGGAAACCAGGACGTTTGAGATAACGACCCGGGCGCGCTTTGTTGTGCTTTGCTTCTGTAGCGTCTCCTTACTCCTCGCAGCTTCACAAAGCCGAATATGTAGATGGCGAAAAAACAGAACAACAAAGCGGCCAATCCCCCAGAGTGGTTGTGAGCTACAAGTGAAGGTAAACAATAACAAGCAATACAATCGAGCACAGTCACGAAGCAGTGGATCAGCGGTATCGTAGTCCAGCAATATAATCCCTGAATATGGCGAAAAGTTCCCGCACGGTTGCATTTGGGGAACCACGCGTCTCCCGAAGACGGTCTGTCACGAGGTTACTTGAAGCTTACTCAACAGCAATCGACGAAAAGCGCCGGCGAGTACTTGCTCGACATCGACTGCACGACATCGCAGTGGCGTTTTGCACACTCACATTGTTACGCTGTGCCACATGACCCTCCTTTTACCAGCATAACAACACACGCTGTAGACGATTCGCAAGGATTTGCGGGTCTGCTTTTCACAGCGGCACCGTTGTCGACTCCGGTGCGGTGTTCCGCCACGTCAGAACTTGCAAGGCATAGGTTTTGTGCGCTGAAAAAGCACATGGCAGCTCCTTTTCGCCGATGGTTGTGGCCGTCTTTCAGAGGCGTTGCTTGCGCAGCCATCGTAGAAGTCATGATAGAAGGGTGACGTAATCCGATTCGGCCGTCAATTTTTCCCTCCAGGCTTTGATGCACGAGTTTGAATTGTACACCTTGCATAAGTTTAAAAGGAAGTGCTGTAGCATCTCTCGTGACGTGCCTGATAGTATGCACCGGCAAGCATTCATTGTGACGTCATGGGCGTAATCGAGAGTGCGCGTGCAAGAAAGGAAGCATGGCTTCGAAATCTGGGAAAAGAAGGTTGCAGATTTAACATGTTTGTAAGCGAAACAAGAAACATCAAGTGCACAGAGCGCTTCTCAGCCTTTTGTCTGAGATCTAAGTCACTTCTCGGCCATTGGCTAAGCTCAAAGTTGCTTCTCGGCATTTTGGCTAAGATCAAAGTACAGTCCTACCCTTCGTGATTACATATGCATGGCCCTGGGGCCGGGATTTGATGCTCCCTCCCCTGAGGGGCGACCACAATTTTTACTCTTCCTTTTCCGCTCTGTTCTCTTTTCCCCTTCCGTCGTGCACTTGCGCTGGGTCGAACACGTGCTCCTACGGGAGCTAACTGATCCATTGCACCGCAATTTACCTTTTCTTCCCGTTTTCTGAGGTCAGGTCCTGGTTCTATGGCTCGATCCTGTTCCACACAAACACCTGGCCTATTCAGCAGGGCTGTCTGGGGTCTTTGGTCCCGCGACCCTCTCTGCCATTGGGATTTCATAGGCAAACTCACTTAGGGGTGCAGCAGCAGGGGAGTGACGCCCCGCGGTGGGTTGAAGGTTCGCCCCACTAACCCGCTGTATTGGTCTATCTGTTCAAGGGCCGCTTGCTTAGCTGGCTGATGGTCCCCAAGAGGACATTCCCGACTAAGATCATGGTTCCTGGACCCTGAGTGGACTTGCCGCTCAGCCCCTGCTCTGCTGGCCTCTGCCAAAGTGGCTCCTCCAAAGCTCCACCCCATGGCGACTGGTCAAGCCCTTAGGTGAGGAAGGGTGAACGCTGGGGCAGCTGGTAGGGCGCTGCAGCCTTGGCGTCAGGCCCTTTGGTCTCGGAAGGACCGGGCGGCCTTTGGTTGGGACAGCAAGGCCAAGACTTCCATTCTTTCTATGTGTTGCCTCTTTTATTACTATTCTCTCTTCTCATGAGCCTAATAATAGATACCGATTGTATTTGTATCAAATTTATTAAACTTATTTTTGCAATGCGGCACAGTGCTTGAAGCTTGCTTCAACTCCGCCACGGGTTGGCCCGGTATTGCACTATCTCCGGGATCTACCCCTCGTCTTTGCGGGGCTGAGTAAACACTATTCTCAATAAAAACTACGTGTCCGGATTCACCAAGGATATTGGGGTAAACCGCGAGGGTGCGACGACAATCCGAAGCCTTGGTGTCACGCAGCCCCAGATGACGCAGTAGTCGCCGCCTTTCACCCATGTGCAGAATCGCGCTAGCTGTGTTCACCCTTACAATTGCTTTGGGAAAGGAAATATTTGTGCGGAAAATCTATATTCAGGAGTCCCACCATTTTTTTATTTTAACGCATACATACTGCATTTTTTTCAACATCCCACTATAAAGATTATGAGTAGTTTGTTATTACACTATCAAAGGAAATATAAAAGTGTTTAAGTGAGAAAACAGCCTTCTTAGCTATTTCCACTTTTGGAGATTGCGCATTTCATCAGAAAAATGAAACAGCTTCTATTGCGCGTTGCATTTTTATTTCACGTCTTCACGAGACGTCTTACCCTGAAGGCGTGTGCTCTCACGACGTCCTCGCATGTACACTGTTCCCCATCACAAAACAAAATCGCGAAGAACAGCAGAGGATGCACTCAGCATGCACCTGCAGCGCGGTGCAGTGGCAAAGACCCGGCGTGCACGCGTCCGTGTGCTCTTCTTGTGTCCAACGACCTGGGTCCCAGCTTCCACCAGTGGTAGCGGTACTTCGTTGCCATGCGGTTAGTTACCTCGTTGGCGCCCTCGGCCATCGCCTTGTTGATCCCACACTACACGTCTAGACATCATCTAGAGCATACCAACAGATCTGTCGTTGGTTTTTGTTCATTACAACTGTAAAGAGGTTTATTGGGCGAACCAAACGGGTAGGTGGAAGATTCGAGATAGCGACAGGACGAGGAAGATAGAGGAGCTCGAGTTCCGATCTCGTGGTGCCTTACTCTGCGATGATGCTTGTTGTTCCCTTTTGTTGTCATTATTCCTTCATTATAATTGTACCCGTCGAGAAAGATGAAGCCATCCTGGCGATCTAACAGGTGGGAACGAGCGGGTGGAAAAACGGCTTCAAGCAGTCTACGTGAACAATATCATGTCCACGCCGACGATAGTCACCGAGAGGCGTAAGCGGTTCAATGGCATAGTTGACGGGCGATGTGCCCTCTACCACGCGGTATGGACCAGGGTATTTTGAAAGTAGCTTGGTAGACACATCAGGTGCAGAGGGTGGTACATACAGCCATACAAGGGTTCTAGGGGCGAACTTTGTGGCAGAAGGGTGGTCGTCATCGCGGTCCTTTTTCTGGCATTGCTGGTTAGCCGTAGTAAACTGCTTCGCTAGCTGGCGGCATACTTCGGCGTGACGGGCGGCTTGAGACACGGTCTTGCACTCAGATACATCTGGTGCGTATGGGTGCAATGTGCAAATTGTGTGCGATGGTTGACGTCTGTATAGAAGGTAGAATGGGTAAAAGCCAGTGGTGACTTGGGTAGCGGTATTGTACGCGTAGGTCGCAAACGGAAGAACCAGGTCCCAGTTCGTTTGGTCGGATGCCACATGCGTCGCGAGCATGTCACCCAGGGTCCGATTAAACCGCCCAGTCAGGCCATTCGTCTGAGAGTAAGAAGCAGTACTCATCCGGTGTGCCATATGGCACTGACGGAGAAGTGCTTGGATTACGTCGGATAGAAATACGTGGCCCCGGTCACTCAGGAGCTCGCGAGGAGGGCCGTGGCGCAACACAAACCAATGAAGGATGAAAGATGTGACATCCTGATTGGTCGCCGTAGGAAGAGCAGCGGTTTCGGCGTACACTATCAGGCGATCTACAGCAACGATAGCCCATCGGTTACCTGCTGTGGTCAATTGCATTGGTCCATAAAGGTCGATTCCGTCGCGATCGAATGCGTGGTCAGGGCACGCAAGCGGCTGTAGTAGAGCTGCTCCTGCATTCGGTGGCTGTTTTCGTCGCTGACATTCCTAGCAGCCGCGAATAAACTGTCGAACAAAAGCAAACATCTCACGCCAGTAGTACCGCTTCTTTAAACGTTCGTAGATCTTGAAGACACCGGTCAGAGTGAAATGATGCACAGATTGTAGAGCGCAGTTTTCGGGACATAACGAGCAGCCACTTTCTACCGTCCGGTGAGTAATTGCGCTGGTACAAGAAGCCAGTTCGAATGGTGAAGTGCGAAGCCTGGCGTCGCATTGCTCGAGTGGTGGGAAGTGTCGGTATCCCAGATAAGACGTCTAGAAGTGAAGTTATCCATGCATCGTCGCGCTGTGCAGAGACCATTGTGTCGATGTCAAGAGCGGACAGTGCGTCTTCTATAGAAGATATAGAGACAACCTCAGCGGACAGTGTTCATCGTGAGAGCGCATCAGCATCGGTATGTTGGCGGCCGGAACGGTAAATGACGCGGAGGTCATACCCTTGAAGTCGCAGAGCCCAACGAGCAAGGCAACCTGATGGATCCTTCAGCGACGACAACCAACATAAGGCATGGTGGTCTGTAACTACAGCAAAGGTGCGACCATATAAGTATGGGCGGAATTTCACAATCGCCCGAAGTATGGCTAAGCACTCTTTTTCAGTAACACTGTAGTTTACCTCAGCCTTGTTGAGCGATCTTCTGGCATAGGCGACGACATGCTCAGGGGATCCAGGCTTGCGTTGAGCGAGCACTGCACCGAGACTGACACCGCAGGCGTCTGTATGGATTTCAGTTGCAGCCATGGCATCATAGTTGCGCAATATAGGCGGTGATGTCAGGAGACGGCGAAGAGTGGTAAATGGGGGATCACATTCGGAAGACCATGAAGAGATGTCATTGGCTCTGCTTAAAAGTTTGGTCAAAGGGGCAATTATGGAGGCAAAGCTGCGCAGAAACCGACGAAAGTAGGAGCCCCATCCTACGAAGCTGCGTCACTGTTTTACAGTCGTCGGTTTGGGGGATTCAGCAACAGCGCGTAGTTTAGCCGGGTCGGGAAGAACGCCATCCTTTGATACGACGTGGCCGAGAATGATGAGCGTCTGAGCAGCGAAGTGGCATTTCTTGAGATTCAGTTGGAGATGCGCATTCCTCAGACACGTGAGGACATGTTTCAGGTGTACAAGATGTGTTGCGCAATCGGATGCAAACACGACGATATCGTCGAGGTAGTAGAGGCATATGTTCCATTTCAATTCCTGGAGAACCGAGTACATCATGTGCTCGAATGTGGCCGGCGCATTCCAGAGGCCGAAGGGCATGACATTGAACTCATATAACCCGTCCGGTGTCACGAAGGTTGTTTTCGGACGATCACCATCTGCTAAGGGCACCTGCCAATGCCCTGATCGCAAATATAACGACGAAAAAAACTCGGCACCTTGTAAGCAATCAAGGGCGTCATCAATCCTGGGCAAATGGTATACGTCTTTGTGAGTGATCTTATTTAGGCACCTGTAATCAACGCAGAAGCGAATTGTACCATCCTTCTTATCAACAAGTACGACAGGTGATGCCCATGTACTTTGGGAAGGTCGGGTAACGTTTCGCTTGAGGATATCGTCAACATGTTCGGTGGTAACCTGAAGTTCCATGGCGGAAACACGGTATGGTCGCTGTCGTACTGGCACGTTGGAACCTGTGTTAATGCAGTGGAAAATATTGGGAGTTCGGCCAAGGGTTGGCTGAGCAGCGCCAAAGGATTCACGAAACTGGTAGAGCAGCTGAAGAAGCTCAGAGTGTTCAGATGGCAATAGTTCGTCGGCAATTGATAAATAAAAAAAGCTCGGAAGGTGGTATATTGGAAGGGTTGAGGGCACTGATGGCGTCGTAGTCACCGGAACGATCTGGCGGCGTGGTAAAAATTTGTTCGTTATTAAAGACATGCACGTGTTCAAGAGATTCACCTTGAAACAGTTCGACGGGATATGGAAGAGGATTGATGAGGCAAAGAGCACTGTTTTCTTCCAAAATAGAGAGGGTTGAAAGAGGCAGAAGAAGTGATCTTCGGCTAAGGAAGAAGCTTGATGGTTCAAAGAATGCAGCTTCGTTCCTAATGCCGTCACAGAACACGGGGAGCAACACAGCTGCTGTTGGAGGAATTTCTGTGCTTTCTGTGAAGACTAGCTTGTGTACGGCAGGCTGAATGCGGCTGATTGGTTGGTCGTAAAACGAGAAATGTTCAAGCTCCGATCTTGCACAATGAATAACGGCATGGTTCCGCGATAAAAAATCCCATCCAGGTGTAATGTCGTGCGAGAATGACGAAAGGACAATAAACTCAATAGTGTAGTGGTCCTTCGCGATAATCAGTTGGACAGTACAGGCGGCTACAGGCTGAACCGGGTCCCCATTCGCTGTTTGCAAGGACATTATATAGAGAGGCGTCGTCACTTTTTGGAGCTTCCAGCAAAGTTTTGCGTCTATCACGGAAACGGCAGCACCGGTATCCACTACAGCATATGCTCGAGTACCTTCTACAAAAACTTCGACAATATACGACGGCAATGTCCGAGGACTTGAGCGTTTCAACAGCGCAGTTCTTGTCTGCTGAACTGCGATGGTTAGTTTCCCTCGTGTTCAGGAGCTGGCCGACGACGCATGGGTGACAGGGAGCGACGATGGGGTGAAGGTGAGCAAGTAGACATAGTAAGTGGACATTCCCGTGAAGACGAGCTTGAATGAGTGTCAGAATTTTTCAGACGAAATGGAGGAAGGTAAATGAAGCTGTTCTGTGTCCGGGCGTCTGTGTATCCCGGCACGCGACGATGGCAGTAACGGGCGATATGACCAGGGCCGCAACACGCAAAACAGATGGGCCGGTTAGCGTGCGTTCTCCAAGTATTGGCGACGAGGTGAGCAGACCATGCGGCGGACGGGTGAGTTGAGGCTGTGGTGGCAATAAGAGGCACCCATGCGGTGGACAGCTGAGTCGGGGATGAGGTATACGGCAGTCCCTGGAACAGCGGGGGGTGGTGTGGCTGCTGCTTTAGTGCCTCAGCGTAAGTAGGAGGCACGGTGACGGGGGGCTGCTTCAAGGGCACCGACATAGCTTCGAAAATCTACTCCTGGACCACATGTCGGATCATGGGAGCCGACGGTGGTGGGTGTCGCAGTGGCTGTTGCTGCGAGAGGTCTTGGCATTGACCAAAAGTCAACAGAGAAAGCTGCCGAGCCACTTCCTTTCACACGAAGTCTTTCATTTGAGGGAGAAGGTTTGTCTGGTCAGTCATAACGTCCAGTGCGGTCACTGGTTTGATTATCTGGAATGAGCGTCGCCTCTGAGCTCGTTGCCTCCGCAATTCATCATAGCTTTGGCACAAAGACACTACCTCTGCCACAGTGCCAGTAGAATTCGCGAAAAGCATCTGGAAAACGTCCTCGTCGACGCCCTTCATAATGTGGTGTATCTTCACACTCTCGCCCATGGAAGCAGTGACACACCGACAGATATCGATCACATTTTCTATATATGATGTGAAAGTTTCACCTGGCTCCTGTGCCCGTGTGCGCAGACGTTGTTCGGCGCGTAGTTTCTGTAAGACTGGACGACCAAAAACGGCATATATCACCTCCTTTAAGGTAGGCCAGTTCGCAAACTCGGTTTCGTGGTTTTTATACTACAGCATGGCCACGTCGGTGAGATAAAAATTGACAGTCCTTAACTTGGCAGCGTCATCCCACCTGTTGGTTCCACTGACTTTATCGTATGACGACAGCCAGTCCTCGACGTCCTGTTCTTGGGTGCCCACAAAGATCGGGGGGTCTCGCTGATGAACCGGGCCGGGGCAAGTAGCGGCCGCGAGAGGTATTGTTTGTTGGGCAGTGCCAACTTGCATCGTCGATGGCAAGGTACGGCATCGGAGTTCCAGGCTGTAGGCGATGTGGTTGCGAAGCACGAACCACCAAATGTAAAGAGGTTTATTGGGCGAACCAAACGGGCAAGTGAAACAATGGAGATATTGACAGGACGAGGAAGACGGAGGAGCTGGAGCGCGGATCTCGTGGTGCCTTATTCTGCGATGATGCTTGTTGTTCCCTTTTGTTGTCATCATTCCTTCATTATACAACGAACATCCTCGCATGCTCATCTGACTGGAACGGCCAGTTGCTGGAAGTATCAGGGGAACTATGCACTATACATACGGACGCATGAAGCACGTATCTGAAGCGGAGTGGAACCCAGGAAGTGTAAGATAACGTCACAGGAGCGCTTTGTTCTAGTTTGGTTCTGTCACTCTCATTACTCCTCGCAGCTTCAGAAAGCTGAAGATGTAGAAAGCAAAAAAGCAGAAAAACACAGCGCTCAATCCCCCAGAGTGGGTGTAAGCCACTAGTGAAGGTCAACAATAACAAGTAATACTATCTAGCGAATTGACGAAGCAGTGGATCAGTGGTATCGTAATGCGGTAAAATAATCCACGATTATGGTTGCACGTCGCCACACGGTCGCAACTGCGCAACTACCCGTCTCCCGAAGACGGTATGTCGTGAGTCTACTCGCGCCTTACTCATCGACATTCGACGAAAAACGGAGGCGAGTACTTCTCCACAGATTTCCATGACCACTTTACGACTGCCTTCTACCGCTTTATGCCGGAATCGATCGAAGGAGCGCGACGCAGGTGCCTCGTACACGCCACCATATCACTCATACCACACGGAATCCGCAAACGGAGACATTTAGGACCAAAGACGGAGCCTGCAGTCGGAACGCTCGAAAGATATCGCAGTGGCATTTCACACACTCACATTGTTATGCTGCGCCACATGAACTTCCTTTGACCAGCAACACAAAACACTCCTGTAGACATTTCTCACGGATTCCCGGGTCCGCATTTCATGGCAGGACCGTCTTCGACTCCGGTGCGGCGTTCCGCCAAGTCGGAATTTCCAAGGCATATGTTGCGTGCGCTCAAGAAGCCAACGGCAGCACCTTTTTGCCGATGATTGTGGTCGTCGTTGCAGAGGCGTTGCTTGTGCAGCCATCGTAGAAGTCATGTTAGATGGGTGACGTATTTGCTATTGATACTGTCGTTTATTTGCCTCCAGGCTTTGGTGCGTGAGTTTGAAATGTAGACCTTGCACAAGCTTTAAAAAGAAGTGCTGTAGCATCTCTCGTGACGTGCCTGATGATATGCGCCGGCAAGCATTCATTATGACGTCATGGGCGTAATCGAGAGTCCGCATGCAAGCAAGCAAGCAAACAGGGCTTCAACGTCTGGGGAAAGAAGTTTTCAGTTGTAACATGTTTGTAAGCGAAACAAGAAACATCCAGCGGACAGAGCGCTTTTCGGCCTTTTGGCTAAGATCGCTTCTCGACAATTTCGCTAAGATCAAAGTGTAGTCCTACCCATCGTGATTACATGTGCTTGGCCCTGAGGCCGGGCTTTCATGCCCCCTCCCTTGAAGGGGGACCACTTTTTTCACAATTCTCTTCCTTCTCCGCTCTTTTCTTTTTTCCCCTTTCTTCTTGCACTTGCGCTGCGGCCAAGATGAGCTCCTTCGGAGCTGACTGATCAGTTGCACTGCAATTTTCCTCTTCTTCCCTGTCCTGAGGTCAGGTCCTGGTTCAATGACTCAATGCTGTTACGCACCTGAACACCTAGCCTATTCAGCAGGGCTGTCTGGGGTCTTTGGACCCACGATGGTCTGTGCCTTTGAGATTTACTGGGCAGTCTCACTTCGGGGTGCGTCAGCGGGGGAGTGATGCCCCGCGGTAAGTTGAAGGCTCGCTGGGGTCAGGCCTTTTAGTAACGGAAGGTTCGGGTTGCCCTCGGTGAGGCCTGCAAGGTCGAGACTACCATTCCCTCTATGTGTTTTTTCTTTGATAACCACTGTCTGTTCTTATTAGCTTATTATGTGATACGGATTCTATTTGTATCCAAGATAATAAAGTTATTTTTGCGAAGCGGAGCAGTGCTTGAAGCTTGTGTGAACTCCGGCACGGGTTGGCCCGGTATTGCACTATCTCTGGGATCGGCCCGCTGGCTCCTGCGGGGGTAAGTACAATACTATTTTCAATAAAAACTTCGTGTCCGGATTCACGAAGGATATTGGGGTAAACCGCGAGGGTTGGCAACTATCCGAAGCATTGGCGACGCGCTGCCAATTTACTTTACCAAATGCTTTGGGAAAGTAAATCTTTTTGCGGAAACTTTATATTTCGGAGCCCCCTTTTTTCTGTTCACCCAAATTATTATTTGGGAGCCCCCTTTTTTCTGTTCACCCATACATACTCAAAATTTTTTAACATCCCATTTATTAGAGATAATGAGTAGTTTGTTTGTACTGTTTCAAAGGAAATCTGAAAGTGTTTATGTGATAAAACAGCCTTGTATAGCTATTTCATCTTTTGGAGTTGGCGCATTTCAGACGAAAAATGAAACAGCTTCTATTGCGCGTTGTGGTTCCTGTTTACAGTTGCAGTGACAAGCGAAGGCATTTTTATTTCACGTCTTCACGAGACGTCTTACCCTGAAGACGTTTGCACTGACGACGTCTTCGCATGTACACTGTTCCCCATCACAAAATCAAATCGCGAGGAACAGCAGGGGATGCAATCGCAAGCATCAGAAGCGCGGTGGAGTGGCGAAGCTCCGACGTGCGCGCGTCCGTGTGCTCATTCTTGTGTCCGACGACCTGGGTGCCAGCTTTCCCCAGTGGTAGCTGTAATTCGTTGTCATGCGGTTAGTTACCTAGTTGGCGCCCTCGTCCATCGCCTTGTTGATCACACACTATACATCTGGACATCATCTCGAGCATGCCAACTCATCTTGTTGGTGGTTTTCATTAATTACAACGAACATCCTCGCATGCTCACCTTATATGAACGGCTAGTTGCTGGAAGTAGAAAGAGTACTGTGCACTATACATACGGACGCATGAAGCACGTACCTGAAGCCCAGTGGAACCCAGGACGTGTGAGACAACGGCCCGTGAGCGCTTTGTTGTGCTTTGCTTTTGTAACTCTCATTACTCCTCGCTGCTTCATAAAGCTGAAGATATAGAAAGCGAAGAAGCGGAACAACAAAGCGCTCAACCCCCCCCAATGCGTGTGAGCCACAAGCGAAGGTCAAAAATAACAAGCTGTACTAGCGAGCGCAGTGACGATGATGATGATATATTTTGTTTAATCGCGCAAGGGCCATTCATGGCCAAACAGCGCCACGAAATGATATCGGTTGAGAGCAATGGTTTTGTTAAATGGCTGTAAAATGGCCTAAGATTCTGCGCTCTAAAGGTGCTTAAGACATATATTATTTAAAATCATGAAAGTGAAGTGAAGCATGCCTGGCGAGAATGAGTCTTCAGTTATGATGACACCATAGAATAGGAGTGTTATATTAGCACCGATACCTCACCGGCGCCCTTGGTAACAATGGCTGGGAGACAGGTGCTCTCCTTGGAAGTAGCATCCACAGCAGCAGCCTCCTTTCAGAGGCCCTGCTACTGATCGCTTGAGTAGATAACATGGAAAGTATTTACTTCCTTTAAGAATGCATTCAATGCATTATATTTAAAAAGAAGTTCGCGGCCAATAAACATAGCTGGGTGAAGGGGTATGTGTTCTTTGTACGCTAGTGGAAATTTTTTTTTTCCTGTAAGCCTCTACCTCAGAGCATTCAAGGAGTATGTGAAGTACGGTAAGTGGACGGCCACATCTGTGACAGCTGGGTGGGTCACCACCAGACAAAGGGTGTGTGTGTGTCCTATTCTAAGCCGACAGAGACTGACCTCTGTACGGGGTGTTTTCGACGTGGGCGGCCAGTTACCGAGGTATGGTTTAATCAAGTGTAACTTGTTACGAGTTTGTTGATTTCATAACTTCTGCCAGTAAGCCCTTAGCTTTTTCGGTATGTTTGGTTTTAGGTCCATTATAGGGACAGCAACTGAAGAGTTGGCAGAGCTTCCGTTGAGTGACCTGGCGAGGTGGTCGGCCAACACATTTCCTTCGATCTCGCGATGTCCTGGCACCCAGCACACGACGATATGTTGCTTGGAAGTATAGGCCGCGCAGAGTATTGAATAGAGGGATATAATTATACGGTTTCTGTGTTTTTAAGATTTTTCAAGGCTTTTACGACACTCAGAGAGTCTGTGTATATAACTACCCTTGGCGTATTCAATTCTTTGATGTGTTTAGCAGCTACAAATAACGCGTAAGCCTCGGCTGTAAAAATGCTTGTGCTGATGGAGAGAACGCCGGCATCCGAGAAGGATGGGCCGACCGCGGCATAGGACACGCCAGTATGGGACTTGGATGCATAAGTATAATATTCTGGACAGTCATACTTATGTTGCAACTCTAAGAAATACATCCGAATGTTTATGGGAGAGGCATGCTTTGTGACAGCTACGAAAGATGTGTCACGGTCTATAACCTGCCACTGCCATGACGGGAGCCGCAGAGCGGGGGGCTGAGGTGGTATTCAAGCAGTGGGACATCTGTTTCTTCAGCTAGGTCTCTGACACGCAGCGAGAAAGGGCGTGCCATTGCGGGTCGATTGTAAAAAAGTTGAGAGCTGGACAGGTCGTTGATGGTGGAATATTGACACGTGTTTATATGAAAAAGAACGATGATAAGAATGTTTTGCAGATTCCAGCTAGTGGGTCAGGTGGTTTTTCGGGACGACAACGAAGCAGGCATCTTGCTGTACAGCTGATCCTGAATACGCTCTTTTCGCTGCCGTAAGCTGCTGTCATCTTTTGTTCGCGTTGCACTGTGACACTGGTGGAGGTGCTGGGCCGTGACGCTGCTCGATGCTTCACAGTCCTAGTGGGAGCTGTTCATCCAGCCCGGACGTGCCTACTGCAACCCCTGTCCATCGATTCAGTCGTCGGCTACGAGGTATTCCTCCAGACTGGAACCCCTCGCAGAAAACCTCCACCAGACATCTAGAAATGGCTAACACCAGCCCCCAGCCTGTACTTCTCGGCACCAGTGCTCCCGCTCCATCCCAGGTGACGTTTTTTCAATCGCTGGAGCCTAAACGCTTTGGTGGTGGCGCACACGAGGATGTAGAAGACTGGTCAGACCACTATGACCGTGTTGCGAAGATCAACCACTGGTCTGCTCAGGAAAAGCTCGGCCGGGCCTACTTCTATCTCGATGACAGCGCTCGTACTTGGTACGAGAACAGAGAAGGCAACCTGTCCACATGGACTGACTTTCACCAGAAGATGGTTGAAACTTTTGCCAATGTCGACAGACGTGACCGCGCCCACCAACTACCAGAGCTAAGGGTCCAAAAACCCAATGAAACGGTCGCCATGTTCGCCGAAGACATGACACGTTTATTTCGGAGGGCTGACCCGCAGATGATGAAGATAGGAAGTTGCGCTACCTCATGCGCGGCGTGAAAGAGCAGCTTTTCGCCGGACTTCTGCGCAACCCGCCAAGCACTGTCGAGAACTTCATCAAAGAAGCGTCGGCTATCGAGCGGGCCCTTCACCAACGCTGCCGAAAATATGACCGCTTGTGCAGCAGCCCCCAAACTCAGGCCGCCGCTGTGACGTTTGACAGTCATGGCTCCTTACGTGACATAATTAGAGAGATTGTTCGTGAAGAATTGCAAAGGCTGCGGACTCCGGTAGTGGATACACCCGTGGCATTCGTCGCTCAAGTCGTCCGTGACGAAATCCGCCAAGCATTCTCGACAGCTGATCCTGCCCCCGAGCAACGTCCCATGACGTACGCCGCCGCCCTTCGAAGCTCCCCACCCGCTCCGCCTTCATGCTACCCGCCACCTGCAACTGTTCCTTGGTCACCACCACAAGGGGAGACATCGTGGCGCCCATCCATCCAGCCTCATACGACCAGTCGTCTTCTGGCTTGCCATGGCCTTCGTCGCGTGAGGAGTCATCACGGCAACCACAGCTTCGCCGAACAGACACCTGGCGCACTGCCGACAGGCGTCCACTCTGTTTCAACTGCGGAGGTGTAGGCCACATAGCCCGCTATTGCAGGCACCGCGCCGATCCGTCTCGCCCTCTCAGGCCACGGTTTGACATTCGACATGCCAACGAGTACGTATACCGCCGTGGAGATGTCGGTTCTCAAGGACCTCCGGTACCTCGACAACCATTCGACGGCCGCCGTAACAATGATGGCGAGGCTACAACTGATTACGAGCCGGTCTTCCGACATCGACCACGCTCTCCTTCTCCTGCCCAGTCACCTTCGTTGCAGCGCCGCACTTTTGCCGACACCAGAGGAGCGAGGTCACCCAGCCCACACCGGGAAAACTGAAGGCGGCGACCTCAGGGGGTAAGGTTGCAGGCTGTCAAGACGAAGAAAAAAAGCCCCCATTACTCCCACCTCAGGACGCTGTAAAGCCGACAAGACGTAATACCGACGAAACCATGACCCCGGGCCTTACCGTTCTTGTGAATGGACAGCAAGTCAAAGCTTTAGTCGACACCGGGGTTGACTTCTCTATTATCAGTGATGACCTTGCCGTACGTCTCAAGAAAGTAAAGACAGCGTGGACGGGACCTCACTTAAGGACGGCAGGCGGCCAATTACTGATGCCTGTCGGAATGTGCACAGCAAGGCTCGACATCGGTGGCTCTACTTTCGTGGCGACGTTCGTCGTTCTCGCTTCATGCTGTAAAGACCTGATTATCGGAATGGATTTCTTGAGAGAACATGGCGCCGTGATCAACATCCCTGACAGTGTCATTACATTTCGCAACAACAGCCCTACTTTAGTCGATTGTTCAGAGCTGAGACATACGTCTTGTTCAGTGCCTTTGTGTCTGACGGATGACGATGTGGTCGTCCCGCCACGATCGTGTACGCTTGTTTCGGTGGCAGGGGATGAGCCGTTTGACGGTGACGGCATTGCTGACCAAATAAGCTCACTGATATTTAGCCACGGTATTTCAGTTGGTCGAGGCCTTGTCACTGTCACTGCTGGACGCACAAACTTGGTGCTCACTAACTTCACCACTGAGCGCCGACATCTCCCGAAGGGTACAGCCGTCGCTT